CGTTGTTACTCAGTTATTCTCCAACAGATCCCACATACATACATAATACTTGTTTATTTTATCATTTTAAAAATATTTAAACTATTTTTAAGATATTTATTGACATTTAAAATTTGATAACTGTCAATAAAACTGTACTAGTTCAGTCAAAAAGCTAAAATTATAACAATATAACATTTTTATAATTTAAAAATATTATTTGAAGGTACTTGAAACTTTTAAAATATATTATTGTATTGTATACACACAATGATATTTTCAAATGCAAATTTTTTAGTAGATAAAATAGATTATAATATATACTAAATAATATTATTAAACCACCATTTACAATTATTTTTTGTAAACAGTTATTTTATATCATTGAATTCAAATATTAAAAACACATTTCTTTCAGCGATCCCTCAAGACACTTAGAGCAATACCCACTTTCCCACCTTCTTTATGATGATTTTCCATACAAAATATTCATATTCAAATTACCAATTGCTGTTTGCTTACTTTTTCTTCATATGGAACATCAAGATCATTACAGGAGATAATCTTAACCACATCTTCGGAAGATAAAAATAGGAACTCATCACTTTTAACCACTTCCCTGAAAATAATTTTCATTATATAGATAATTTATTAATGAATAATATAAACAATTAAGTTATTTAAATTTTACAGAAACTGTTTTTTTATTAATGCTTCAGAACTTGATAACAATTCTGTACAGTTATGTAAGTCAGCAAACGATCTGATACCAATACAATTAGATGCATCCAGTTGTTTTTGTAAAAACTCAGCACATGTATTAATTACATACTCTAGCTGTAAGACATTTGCAGCTGGTAACAACACCTTAGAAATCAACAATAATTCACATAAAATGATATTATGTTATTTGAATAACATATTCAATTAATATTCAATTATACCCGTACATTTTCTTTTGTGACCATAATTTCTCCAGTATAAATATAATCTACTAATACTTGTAAAATGGTGGAATCTAATTCTCTTATACTTACAAGATCTTTGTTGCTCTCATCAAAATGACTAAACATTGCAGAGAAATATGGACTAGCTGCTATTAAGACAATTTTATGACCAAACGTTATACATCCATCATCTGTTTCAATTCTAATATCACATAAAACTTCATTTCTAAAAACAAAAATATACTATGGATATTTATTATAAGTGAAGGTAAATAACCATCAACATACTTGCGTAGAGATTGTAAATCTTCCACTATTCTGGCAGAGTGAGAGTTATTTCTAAAATTTGTTGGTTCACATTCTTTGGATGTCAAAACTTGCTTTAGATTATTTTCACAAGATGAAGCCTGAATAGTATCCATTTCATTTACTGACATAGAACACCTTTGAACATATTTAACAAATTGTGATTAATTTTAATATCATCATTGTGTTAAAACTCTATACTAAATTTGGGTACTTTAGACAGGGTACAAACCATGGTTGGTAATATATGCATATAAAACATTTTATACTTGGCACACATATAATGCCCTACATATTAATTGTATAAAATGACTCAAACATATACAATTTTATAGCGACTAAGATATAATAATAATAATAATAATTGTTTATTCAATAAAATGGGCAAATTATAACAAATATTAACTATTAAGTAAATATTGTTTTCTTTGAAATTTATACTTAGTATAATAGTGATAATACTGTAGATATTTTAAATTTTAATAAGTATAAACTTAAAAAAGTAATATAACAAATTTACGAATCACATCAACTTGGTGAATTATACGTGATAATTGCTGTTCAGTGCAGCCATAAAAAAAATGTTTACAGTAGAAAATATATACAAATAAGTACTTCAATACTGCAAGTATAATACGTGATTTATACTTTACTGTTAAAATGTTTTACCTATATCTTAATCCTAGTAAAACCAAACAAAATAATGATGTTAAGTAATTATTAACTTATTATAGTTAGATTTATTAAATATAAACAGGTTATTGTTGAAATAAATAATATATATTTAATAATGTTCATTGTTCAATGTTCATAGATACTAGATAAAAAATTGTGTGTATAATACCGAGAGTGCCATTTCGGTAAATTTCTGAAATGTTTACAAATCCTTATAAAATAATTAGCAGGTTTAAAACTTCTACCTACATAATTTAGTTTATCTCTGGCTAGCTATGTAGTTATTTACACATTTTTTGTCACAAAGAATTTATTTAAATAAGAAAAAAAAAATTAACACAATGGGTTACTTGATTATAGTTACCTATCCTAATGATTCTATATTAGATTCATTATACATATTGGCATTTTCATTATAGTTTTAGTAGAGTAATATTGTTTTTCAATACATATGGCTACAATATTGTAGCTAGGTATATATTGTATATGGCTTTCCCAAAAAATCTACACCAACTGCATGGATCATTTATTTTTAACTTCACATCATGACCACAATATTATTATTCAATTATAGGTACACAAAATTAAGAATATTTATATATTTATTGTTATTAAAATGTTATTGAATTAAAATAAGTATATAAAAATATGTACCTACTTATTCTCTTATTTATTGCAGTAATCAACAATACCGAACAACTGGAGTTCTAGACAAAGGTATTTTATTAAAATATTTTAAATATGGGCTTAAATACAATTTACCTAATTGATATTGGTGGGGACAACCGGGTTAAGATGAAGTCAAAAGTTGTGAGGTAAGAACTAAGAATGTAAGATGGTAATTGTAGGTAGGTAAGTTGTAATCAGTTGATTATATATTTATATCCATAAAGACTTGAGATAAGGAGGCCAAACTCTGACACAAAAAACGTCCCATAATACATAGCATACTAATTTCTCTACCAGTCTGCGTGGCGGTCAAATCCGTGGCTGGCTGGAAGTATAATTAACTCGTATTAGATAGGGACATACTTGACTTTATTTCCTTTAAAAAATAACGATTAAAAAACTAAAAATTGTATTTAAATTATAATTAGGTACACCAATATACCATTATATTCATCGCAAATTTCTCTTTAAGAATAAATTTGAAAAATAATATTAATGTTCAATATCTAAGTAATAAATGTACATAATATAAATAGTAAAAATAGGTAGGTAAACTGTTATGTTTACATAATTATTATTATTGTTTACTACATGTACCTACGTGTAATTTTCTTCAAACCAACAATTATTAATAACCATACCAACAACTTTTTTGATCCTCATACAGGTGCTCAAACACAAACAATTGAGTGTTTATGAAGACATGTAAGAGTAAAATGTAATACAAGGTCTTGTGGAGTAAAAAACCTACTCGAAAGGCAATTTATTAGAGGAAGAATGACGGCGTTCACTGTTCAGCCAGATCATCTAATGTCTTTTGAAAGTATTTTAAAAGACATAAGAGACACATTTGTATAATAATATAGAATCAAATCTGGCATAATTCTAGTTTAGCTCCCAAGCGATTTTTTTAATTTTTTTTATCGAAACTCATCTAACACATCGAGTTAAAAACGATGGTGCAATCAGAATTTGTCGCTCTCATTTAGTTTCAAAGTTATGGCCTTACAAAGTTTTCGATTTTACGTTTATACGCATGCGCGCAACATTACTATAATGACACGCGGAGGACAATTTTTGTTATTTTTTTGCACTTACGTATTCGGTATACCTTTTTTTTTGAAACATATGTAGTTATGTAGTATGTACCCTGTGACCTACTTGAGGTGGTGTTGCATAGCAAGTCGGGGGATATTTTCGATTTGCGGAGCGGAGCGACGGCGCCGCTAACTGTGTAATCACTAATCACTGCGACACTGCCCATCGGGCATACTACGACATAACTTATCCTGTAACCTACTTAAGGTGATGTAGCATAGCAAGTCGGGGGATATTTTCGATTTGCGGAGCGGAGCGAAGCGCCGAGGAGAGTAGCGACGAGTGCCGATACACGCGTAATCACTGCAACTTTGAATTGCCATGACTTTTGAACGGTAAAAATCGTGTTTTTGAGTTAAAAATACCAATACCTAAATATTTTGGAAATTTTTTCTCATTCGGTGTGTAATTACAAACAAGTTTTTGGTGTTATAAAAATGTGTCAGTCGGACTTAGTTTTTAGGTATTTTTAATTCAAAAACACGATTTTTTGAAAAATCGAGCATTTTTTGGTTTAACATAAAAAAGTAAGTACGATAGATAAATTTTGATTTTACCAAAACATTAAGCATACAAATACTAACAATACAAAAAAATAAAAATTCTAAAAATACAATTTTTTGGTATTTTAAATTCAAAAACGCTATTTTTTGAAAAATCGAGTATTTTGAAGTTTTTTGAACATAACTTCCTTTAGAAGTTTGAGCGACTTTTTTTTAAGGTACCATTAAAAAAAGCATACTAAAACACACATTTTGCAAAAAAAAATTCAAAAAATCGCTTGGGAGCTAAACTAGAATTGTTCCTCAAATCCTTTACGTAGAAAATATACGATAGAATCATTGGTTTTTTGTAGATAGCATAGGTACGACACGTGAACATAAATTTCTAACTCGAAAGTTATTTGCAAATTTTCGTGATTTTGAAGTATTTTGTCCAATTCTTACTTTGTCGCGTGTCCGTGTGGTGCACAATATGACGGGCCGTAACATTATCGTTATTATTATTACATTATCATTATTCATAGAAAACAACATATTTTTATTATTATATTATATATTTATATTTATTATTAATTATTATTCATATTTAATCTTTAAGTATAAAATCGTATGTATCGATTAAATCAGTCTTAGGATATAAGTTATTTGAACACATTCTATCAAACATTTCTTTGGATGGCACAAAATCGACGCAAATACCTCTACCATGTTCTTTTATACATTCACTGGTCATTAAGGTTGCGGAAACAGTTGAAGTAATTAATCTATTTCTTGACTTAGTATCAATATAATTGGATTTGGATCTGATGGGTGTGCGTCAATGATGGGTAAGCATAATTCTGTATCAACTTTAATGAAAGAAATGTTTCCTGGGATTATGATAGTCAAATGTATCTGTCACTCATTACACTTATGCTGCAGTCAGGCATGCAAATCACTTCCAAGAAGATGTGAAGACTTAGCAAGGAATATTTATAACTTTTTTGGGCAAAGTTCTAAAAGGCAAAGCCAGTTTGTTGAATTCCAAAACTTTTGTAGTATAAAGGTACATAAAATATTACATCCATCACAGACCCGTTGGTTATCGCTTCTAGAAGTAGTAAATCGTATTTTAGAGCAATGGGAAGCTCTAAGATTATTTTTCACCGATAAATGGCTATCTGAAAAGTTATTATCTACTGAATCAATTTATAAACAATTGCTAGATCCATTTACAAAGGCATATTTCATGTTTTTAGAATTCATATTACCAAAATTCACTTACTTAAATCAATATTTTCAAACAGAAAAGGTTATTTTGCCCAATTTGCACGAAAAAATGGAATTCACATTTAAAGAAATATTGATGTATTATATGAATAAAAAGTATGTTCTTCAAACACCATTAGGAGAATTGAATCCCGAAGACCATGAAAATATTCTTCCTGGAAAACAAATATATGTAGGTTATAAATTGTCCACATATTTATCAAGTAGGGTTATTACTAGTCGTCAAGATTTGTTATCAGAATTTAAAACAAAATGTACTGAATTTTATATGGTATCTTGTAGTCAGATTAAAAAAAGATATAACTTTTCTGACACTGTTCTTCCTTTGATAAGAATGCTCACTCCATCTGTTGCTGTATCATTTAATAAAAGAGAAGAATATCCAAGTATATGCAATTTAGCTAGTCAGTTACCTAGAATAATATGTGAAAATCAATTTCAATTAATAGAGGATCAATGGAGACAACTTCCATTAGTTAATATATCAAAAGATATAATAAAAGATGAAGATCCCGATAAATTTTGGACGTATCTTAAACATTTAGAAAGTGGGCAATTTAGTGAACTTGCTTCATTTTGTTTAAGCGTTATGTCTCTTCCCCATTCCAATGCACAATGTGAAAGAATTTTTAGTAAGATGAATAGAATTAAAACTAAGTCAAGAAATAGATTAATTACTTCAACTGTTTCCGCAACCTTAATGACCAGTGAATGTATAAAAGAACATGGTAGAGGTATTTGCGTCGATTTTGTGCCATCCAAAGAAATGTTTGATAGAATGTGTTCAAATAACTTATATCCTAAGACTGATTTAATCGATACATACGATTTTATACTTAAAGATTAAATATGAATAATAATTAATAATAAATATAAATATATAATATAATAATAAAAATATGTTGTTTTCTATGAATAATGATAATGTAATAATAATAACGATAATGTTACATTATAATAAAAATATGTTGTTTTCTATGAATAATGATAATGTAATAATAATAACGATAATGTACGATAATGTACGATAATTTAATGATAATCCGTGTACGATAATATACGATAATTTCATAAGTTGTGTACGATTTTCGGCTACTTAAAATCTGGCAACACTGGTTGTGCCTGTGTAGGTGCACCGATTCTCTGCGCTGAGTGAATAGTGACATGTGAATGCCGATTCGGCGAGTGACGATAGCTGAACAGCGAACACGAGTCACGACTCACGACTAAAGGAAATTTACGTGTGTCCGATACTCCGATGGTGTCACAACTCGCAGAGTACAGTAATAACAACTGATAACACAATAATAATATTATTATTACTAAAAAAAATATAACAATATATCCGTACAATTGGCCATTGGGTACAAAATTATTAATCAACCTAAACGGGTGGGAAAACGTGTATACAGTATTGTACCTACTACCTATAAAGCATGATGAAATAGCATGATTATTTCGTCATGGGTTTATGTTCGCAACATGCAACTCGCGCGCACGCACTCACAATCACCACAAATTCTCAATGCGCAAGTACCGAACGGCGAACGATGGTCATCGGCAAATAATAATTTTAAAAACGCCAGAAATCCCCACTTATGTTTATAAATAAATTACAGTGTATTAATTAAAATATTGAGTATAATCCATAGAGTAAGAACTAAGAATATATCACAGTATAATACTCGTTTTCTTTCCGTAAATCATATTATTCATTTTATACCAATTTATACCAATTGATAATATTATTATTATAGGTATTGTTGTTTTTTATTTTATCATTCAAATTTTCAATTACAACTATTACCATGTACCACAGATATAATTACAACCATGAACTAAGATATACAGGACTGGACACAGAGCCTTATCAGCCGGTCAGACAATGTTACGCATTGTACCTTTAAGCGATACCTACGCTATCTAGTGACGAATTAATTTACTACATTATTATTACAGCTCGGAATTTAAGGCACTTCCTTATAATATTTTATTTTATTTACTTAAAAAGTTATGTATGTAGTTACTAGTTAGTAGTTATATCTACTTTTCATAATGTAAGACACAACTTTAAATATTTGTTATGAGTATGTATACTTAGGAACGTACATATTAGGAATATTTTAAATTATAATTTATATTGTATTATTAATGCATATTTAAGCTATTTTCAAAAATATTATGCATAGTATTTAATTAATAATATTTCCTAATTAAAAAATATATATTCATATTAAACAAACTTATTAATATTTGTAATCATGAACTAAGAAGATCTTCTTAGTTCATGTTTATACTATAATATTTTAATTTGAAAATGTATCCATGTCTACTTGTAATGTCTTAAGGTGACCTATTTATGTGCTTAGGTTGACTTAAACAATTTAATATGTTATTTATATAGTAAAAATGTAAAATATATTTTATTAATAAAATTACAATTAAGTGTTGACTAGTTTCGACAATTTTTTTTTCTTAGAACTCAATTTGTTTTGCTCTCTATTTTGAAAAACTGAATACTGCCGCATACGCATTGTAATGTATTATGTAATTATATCAGACATAACATCTGTTTTATGCAGGGAGCATGAAAACCAAAACTGTTTATTATTTTCAGTTATGTGGTTGACAATTAATTCAAAAACGTCAGAATATTTACAGTACTGGTTAAATAGATCTTCTATATACCTAATAAACTCAAATAAACTATGGTTAGGATGTAATAACCAGCCTTTGGATTTTATGTTTGTTAATGCAGCTACAGGATTTGCAGATGCTTCTGTTGAACTATTGAAATATGTTATACATTCTTCACACTTATAACGTTTAGCTAGTTTCCGAGTTATATAGCCAACAGTTTTTTGCACCAATTACATTTTTGGCTGTTTCCAGAAGTTAACATTGGACATTTAACATGGCGCCAAACATTAGTTATATCCAAATTTGTATGTTTCACAATAACTCCTAAATGTGTTGAAAAACTAGAGAATATATCCTCATTGAAAATTTAAGCATGTGGTAAATTATTTAATTATGTATTATAAAAAAATATTTTGTTATATTTGCATAATTCAATTAAATAATTTAAATAATAATAAACAAAATTCAATTTCTTTGTACCTTTAAAATTATCTGGACTAGGACCACCATTGCATGTTTGAGTTACATTTAAGCCACACAAAGTTTATTCAATCAATTTTGAAGAAAAAGGAAAACAAATGTTTGTCATTTCAAAATCATCCAACTGCACAGGGCAATTTAATACATAGCACTCAACTTTTTCATCATCAGTAAATACTAATTGTTTTTCAACAACAGCCATTTTGTTGTAACCATTTGGACGCACAAAATAAAACACAATTGAACCATCTTCACATACACTATTCCAACCAATAGGTAAGACTATATGTTTGTAATTTTTCAATAAATCATCATAGGAACTAAACAAGTCAGATATTGGAGACTAATAAAAAAATTAAAAACAGATCATTAAATATTTATTTAGTATTTTTGTGTTCTTTTTTTTTTGGGGGGGGGGACTATTTTATTTATATTTGATTACTTCATCATTTTGTGGATATGGTAACTGTTCTGGCAAGATTACATCTTCAGCAGACCACTTAAGTTGTTTTCTACATGATGGTTGAAGTGGTAAAGACTAAAAAGAAATCTTAGATTAAAAACACTTAATACATTCATACCTTACTTTATTTTTCCAACTTTATAAGAAACTTATACTATAATTAGGTTTGTAAGTTTAAATATGTAGTTAAACATTCAAATTATTATTTAATTAACCTCATGCGACGAACATTGTAGTATATCAGAACAATAATAGTTACTAGTTGACGCTAAACATTTGTTATATTCTTCAACACTTAAAGAATTATTGGTAACAGTAACATTTTGATCTAAAAATAAGATGAATTGAATAGTTTTTTTTTTATAATATATACATATATCCATGTAGTTAAATCATTACACTAACCATTTATTTCAAAAATTGAAGGAATAGCATTTTTTTTTAGCCTAGGTTTAGTAGCAGACAGCGGAATAACAAAATCAGCAGAAGAAAATGAAACATTATTACTATCTGTAGAACTAGAACTGAAAGAAAAAAAAATTAATTTAACATTTTTTCATTTCATTAACAAATAATTTAGGATAAACAATGGTAAGGATCAATAATTATCATAATTATTCAAATAATATAATACCAGACAGAATACAAACACAAGTAACCTCTGTTTAACTGGCATATTCCAACCAGAATAATTCCTTATAATATCTTCACTACTAAAGTGGAGTTCACACAAATATTTCGCATTAGTTTGTTTGTGGTTAACTTGCGATATAATTTTGGACCATAGTTCAGAAATATCTTTATTTTTCGGCGCTTGAAATATCGAATACTTTTTAATATTGTGCTTTCGACTTTTACACAGCAACACAGAACACTTGTTAACCATTTTTACGAACTTTATATCGAATACCGTATGCGTTAACTGCCGTTAAGCATGTACGGTACAGAATGACATTAGGTGTTAAAATAAACATAATTATGTTTTGTTTTCGAAATAATATGTACCTATACGATTATATACGATTATTATGTACCTATTCGTATTATATTTATAGCATACAAATTTTGTGTTTTATAAATTAGGTTGCAAATTTATTCTCATAGACTGCGCCAGCTCCGATTAAAGGTAAGAGGCGTAACATTTACTGACCGTACCCTTCATACCCGCCAACCTATCGGTGTCCAGTCCTGTATATCTTAGTTCATGATTACAACTATTACCATGTACCACAGATATAATCTAATACTATAAAATGAAGAACAGCTGACTGATAATACAAGCAACCCGTGGAACGGAAAACGCAGTTAGAGTGAAACCGTGGAGTAAAAAATGAAGCACCGCTCCGTTTCCCCAGCCCGCCGGCCATGTCCCGTCGATTCCTTATAGCGCGACCAATCGCGTACCTTCGCAGTGGCGGCGGTCGGTTTTAAAACGTTTTTCGTTATCACCTCTTTTCCTATCATTTCGCCGATTTTCGGAAAATTAGCTGTTTTTACACGATATCTTTTCGCCCTTTTATATACTTAATTCGAAGTAACCGGTGTGCGGTTTATATTCGTGCAATGTCGATCAATAAATACACTCCCGACCGGACTTTTTTGCCGATTTTTTTCCTTTTCTCCCTCCGTTTCGTCTATTCGCACAATCGCACCCGTTTGTGTCCGAATCGAGTCTTTTTGAAGCCGTTTATATGCGCTTTTCCCCCAAAATCGGTTCGTTCGCCTCGCAATCGCGTTTGGAAATTACGCCGGCGACCGACCAGCCGTACGCGTATATATACATGTATATACGTGTATAATTTAATTTTTCCTTATGATTTAATAATTATTAACGGAAAACGCTTTTCACACGCCCCGTTAAATATATATATGGGAGATGCGCGTATTACAAGCGAATTATATGCGATTACATCGATGTACATCGAATATATCGGTTTACGTCGCTCCGTAGTCGCACGGCTTAATTGTTGATGTTTTCACTGTCTTTCATATCTCAAACTGTGTCCGAGTAGGTTAGGCGTTAGGCAGGAAACACGTAGGTCCCGGGTTCAAATCCGTCGTACGCCGTCCAGGCATTGAAACCGTTAATGCCATATGGTTTACACGGCCGCCCAAATTCCGACTTTTTTTGCATTTTTTTTTCACGTTATTTTTCATATAAATTAAATAATAATAATAATATAATAATACAGGAACATATCGTACATTATTATCATTTTATATCACACAATAAATAGGTACATATTATATTTGTTTTATTAGGA